GGCTCTACTTGCTCCCGAGGCCACAGGTCTGCATACTGAGGAGGGTCCTGGCATCCTGTGTCCTGGCCACAATGACCATGCCCAGCAGCGCTCTCCCTTTGCTGCCATGAGCTCCAATTCTGGGCTTGGTAAACAACTGGGGAACAGTTGCCATTGCCTGAACTTCTAGCAGGTCTGCCAGCCTTGCAAACCCAGCTCCAGTTTCACCCCCACCCCAGCCTTATGTCCTTCTTTCTCTGCAGATCACAGTCACAGGGCCAGCTGAACGCATCAGGGGTGCCCATGCCTCTGCATTTGTGTCCACACCGCTCCCTCTGCCGTTCTTTCTGTCTCCTCCTGTGTGAGTCCTCTGAGCTCGCCTCACAAATGCCTCCATGCAGACCCACTGGAATGAATGCTCCTGTGCCCTCTGTCCCTGTGCTGTCTCCTTGGTGTTCTTCTCACCCCACACAGAGGAGGAGCTCCGACTGTGAGATAAAGATGGACAAAAGTAACAAGGCCATGGCTCCTCTAGTGAAGGGACAATGAGAGATGAGGAGCGGTCAGGTCAGCGCTCTGCCCTCAAGCCACTGAATGACTGTAGCTGGGCAGCAAGGGTGTGCGAGTGTGTGTGTGTGTGCTCAAGTGCTTGTGCCTCAAGTAGCTGAGAGTGCAGTGAGAGAGGATGTGTGATCCAGGCCTGACTTTTCCCACCCGTCTTGGCTCTTTGTCCTTCCTTGGCAGCTGCCCCCTCCCATTCCAGCCTCTGCCGAGAAGATGGCATGGGATCCCAGACCAAGCTTTTTCTGTCCCTGGCCAGTTCTCTCCCCTGCCTGTGTACTCCATGGGTCCCTACTTGCAGGACAACCTCCAAGATGACCAAGTGTTCATCCTGCTCAGTCACCTGCTCTTCACCTTGGAACTCACTGTGCTGATAGGGTATCTGCTTCCAAGACTGTGGGCCCTCTGGTTCTGGGCAGGAAGAGGAGAGGCAAATGTGAGCAGGTGAAAGCTCGTGGGGGAAGGCACTGATGTTCCAGAACACAAGCATGAGGAGCTCCCAACCAACACAGACTCTGGCACACAGTAGAGGTGTGCTCTGTCCCCTGACTCCACACATAGCCCTCCATGGTCTCCAGAATTTCCATCTGCTGATGTAGCAAGCCACTGTAGATAGCATTCACTCACCCACACATCCAGGGCCTGGGGCTGTGTCCAGCATCCCTGACACACCACATTCACGTGCAAACTGGGCTGTGGGGAGGTCACTATTATTGAAACCCCAAATATGTGTGTCAGTAACAGCCACACTGGCCCAGGCAAAGGCTTCCCTGTTCACAGGAGACCTGCAAAGTCCAGGGTGTCTTCCTCCTAGAGGAGAACAGGGCCAGTAAGAGAGTTTGGGGCAAGGAGCCACTAAGACACCACCGTGACCACAAAAAAAGGTTTCTAGGAAGGCTAGTATATAATATGAACCTACTTGTTTGCTGCAAAATAAATTCCCATCCATCTTTCTTTACTTCCCTTCCCTACCACCTCCAAAGGTTCAGCAAGGTGCAGCATAGCACAGGGATCATTGTATACACAAGTGGAAAATGACGGAAGGTTGAGTCTCACTTCTAAACTGATGTGATAGAGCTGAAACAGCTATCCTAAAAGCAGTTCAAGA